CCTCTCTTGGTAGTTACTTTTTTTTAAGTTTTAGATTTTTTACTATTTATTTTTTCTAATATTTGCTAGGTTTTTACATTCATGATACAGGGCTTCTTTTTCCAGGGACTTTTCAGGTAAGTTATTATTCAAACCTTTGTCATACTCATCCTCATGTCCAACCAATGTTTTACGGTTGCTTTCATCTTCGGTTTCATTATTGTCGATTTCTTTGGGCCTTGTGGGTACATTTTCTACTTGCTTTCCCTTTGTCTGCTCCAATTCGTTTAATCTCAACTTATTAACAGCATCCACTTTAACTGACTTTTGATAATAGGCAAATGGCTTATATTTGTCCTTTCAAATTTCTGTTTCATTTTGCTGGGACCATATTTTTCATCTGAATTACCACATTCTACATGTTTTAGGTAGGTCGCTGTGGGTTTCTTTTCAATCTCTATTTCCTTATTTTTGCCCTTTTTGACTCCAATTTCTTCCTCGTAGCAGGAAACAACCGGATATGTTTCATTAGCGTCACCTATATCTGCAGTCTTTTGATAATTAACGAATACATTATGATCATCTTTTTCGATACCAATTCCATTTTGATTAAAGTATCTATGGTTGGCGGATTTGGGTTTTTCAAGTTCCTTTGGCCTGTGCATCCAATTTTCCAACGTTTCTATATAACCGTTAATTAAACTTTCTAGGGCGATTTCAGCATCAGCGTTACTGATCTCAGTTGCCACATCCGGAGCAAGATATAGATCAATTATTTTAGCAGTTGGGTCATTTTCGTACAGTAACGGTGGTGGGGGAACCTTCAGGCTTGGAGCTACTGAGACTATTTTAGGTGCAAGCGGCGGACTTTTTCTTTTCATCCTTTTTACATTTGGGGCAAGTTGAATATATGGAGGTAGGTAGACAACCTCCTCTTGTTCGTCATCCAGGTTGCTTTTCAGACAAACATGCTCTAGAATTTCTGCAAAGAGTTTTAGGGCTTGTGGGTCACCTAAATTTCGATCTCTAATAGTTTGG